AAGGTGACCCAACAGAGTGTGGAAACTATAGAACAATCTCATTGATTTCACATGCAAGCAAGATTCTACTGAAGATTATCCAAAAACGACTGAAACAGCACATCAGCAGAGAACTCCAGAAGTCCAGGCTGCATTTAGAAGGGGTCATCGATCGTACTAGGGATATTGTAGCTAGTGTTAGATGGACCTTAGCTGAAAACAGGGAATACCAGAAGAATGTCTAGATTATGCAAAGGCATTGACTGTGTGGATCATAACAAACTGTGGCTGACTCTGAGAAGAATGGGAATCCCAGAACACTTGATCGTTCTAAAGTGAAACCTATACTTGGACCAGGAGGCAGTCGTCAGAACAGAGCAAGGAAACACTGCATGGTTCAAAATTAGGAAGGGCGTACGCCAGGGATGTGTACTATCTCCATACCTTTTCAACCTATATGCAGAACAGATTATCTGGGAGGCTGGGCTCTATGAGTAGAAATGTGGCATCAGGATTGGTGGAAGATCTATCAACAATCTACGTTATACAAATGACACAACCCTGCTTGCTAAAAGTGAGGATGACCTGAAGCGCTTGCTGCAGAGGGTCAAGGATTGCAGTCTCCAATATGCATAAATGTCAAGAAGACAAAGACTCTCGCCACTGGGCCAGCTGGCAGCATCAGGACGGATGGTGAAGAGATTGAGATTGTTCACAGCTTTTGTTTCCTTGGCTCCAAAGTCAACACTCTCGGCACCAGTAGCCAGGAAATTAAAAGACGTGTTGCGATGGGAAAGTCTGCTATTAGGGACCTCTGCAAAGTATTGAAGAGCAATGGTGTCTGGAGACTAAGGTGCGTCTGATACAGGCCATAGTCTTTGCAATCACTAGTTATGCATCAAAGAGTTGGACAATGACCAGGAGGATAGAAAGATAATTGATGCCTTTGAGCTGTGGTGCTAGAGAAGAGTATTGAGAGTACCATGGACTGCTAGGAAAACAAACAGATTTGTCCTGGAAAGGGTTAAACCAGATGGCTCCTTGGAGGCAAGGATTCTGAGGCTCCATCTAACATACTTTGGACATGTTGTAAGGAGGGACCTGTCCTTGAAGAGGGACATCATGCTTGGTAGGGTGGAGGGACAGCGCAGGAAGGAAAGGCCCCCTATGAGGTGGATTGATTCAGTGACTGGGGTAATCGAGATGGGTGTGTCAGAGACAGTGTGATTGGCACAGGACAGAGCAGAGTATAGGGCTGTTGTACATAGGGACACTATGAGTCGCAAGAGACTTGATGGCATATAACAACAACAATAACAACAACTCATCTAATCTGAGATATAGTAGGAAATACAGTTTATTCTAACCTTTTGTATTTTTTATATTGTCTAAATGTTTTACTGTAATCATGTACACAGAAAACAATACAAGTGTCTTTAAAATATAGGAAAGAGAAGCAGCTCTAGTAAAGGTGATTAGAAGGTTCTTGAGTCTTACTTTGCTTCCAGAGCCAGAGCAAAGATGCCAGCAGCCAGGGGTGCCGAGGCCGAGGTGCCCGTGTGCGTCTCCGTGCAGTCATTGTGCAGGTCAGCACTTGTCTGGTTGGCATCAGGGGGGAGAGAAAGGTGGCGAGAACACGTGAAGAGTGACATCGTGTCCCTGTGGGTTAACCATACCCAGCATTGCATCTGCTACCATCAGAAACTCAGCTGATTCGGTTCCCCACTTCCTCCTCTAAACCACCAGGCGGATGTATGCCATCTGCTGATATTTTATTTAGTTCGCTCTCCTCTATATGCAACATGTCTTTAATTCTGGCATCATGATGCCTTTTCTGGGGATGAAGTACTCCCACTATGAATATTTTCTCTTCTGAGATCCCCAAACAAAATGCTGTCTATATAAAAAAAAAAAAAGGGAGGGGGGACCGCTTCAAAATCACTGTGAATCATGCTGGCCCATTAATCATCGGGTTCATTGTGTTTGGTCTGGCATATTTAGAAAGTCTGCCTCCTGCCTGTGGCGTCACTAGGAGAGTGTGGGGGTCGTAGACCACTCTGAGTGATACTGTACGAAAGGGTGACACCAAAATGCCTGTAAAATGTGAGTGCAGTAATTCAGAAGAAGCATCAAAGAGCTCATTGCTGTCACGTTGGAACCGACCCGTAGCTGACAATCCCTAGGGTTTTCAGAGGCAGTAAATCTCACGGAATGACACTGTTCACCTTTCTCCTTGGACAGCTGGTGGATTCGAACCACCTGCCTGGCATTGGCAGCAGGACGCTTTACTCACTAAGCCACTGGAGCTCCCTAGTAATTCATGCTACTCTTATTAAAAAAAAAAATTAAAAAAAAAGCAGCCTTATAATTTGTATGGGGCAGGTCTGTGTTTGAGTGTTCAGCTGTTAACTAGAGAGATTGGTGGATTTGAGACAGATAGCCACCCTGTAGGAGAAAGATGTCGACAGTCTGCTTTTTTTAAGACTTAAAACCTTAGAAACACCATGAGACTGCTCCACTCTGTTCTATAAAGTTTCTAAGAGTCAAAATTCGGCTCAACAGTTAATTTAGTCATAAGAACAAGATCACTTTATCACTTTTTCCTAGTCTAGTTTACACGTATCAATATATCTACTAACACTATTCTCATTTACTTTTTGAACTGTCAGTCTCCTCTGCTGTCATTGCAGCCTTGCAAACCGGACAGAGGGTCACTGTGAGTCAGAAGTGACTCAATGGCAATGACGAGGAGAAGTTTTTTGAAAAGCACTTTGTGAAGAGCTGTCATTACTTCCGGATTACAATGACACTCCACATCACATGACTTCAGTACTGCATGCTACAAGCAGGTGCTGTTGTTTCCATTGCTGCCAGTACTTCCATAGTTGCTGATTTTGTCAATTTTCCTGGTCTTTTAGCTATAATCTTGTAGTAATTAGTGAATCCATATTAAAAAACTTTTTTGAGAATGAAGTAGCAATTTCAGGGAAAAAAGAGAGGAAAAATAAGACTTCCACGCAGTTTTTCATAATGTTGTAATTGCAGTTTTTCATAATGTTGTAATTCAATGTCGAAACTTTCTATACAATTTTGTTAATATTTATATAATCTTATTACTAGTATACTAAAGCAATTCATTAATTATCATATTTCCTTATATGGTTAAAGTCAATAATTAACATTATTATGAATTCTGTATGGTCTGGTCCAGGAACAAGTCCATGGGGAAGTGACACCAAACCCAATTACCTCATGCAAAATTCTCTTTTGTCTTCAGATTGACATTCTCGGCTCCTTCATGAGAAGGTCAGAAGCCACCCTGATCTCAACAGCTCCAACCTCTTGCAGAAAATTTACTTTATATGTAGGTTACACTTACCCTTGGCTTGATTTGATGTTTATATACTAAGGCTCTAATGAAAGTAGAGGGTTTCGCCTTTGGAAATTGTGCTGGACTTAGTTTTGGGTTCAAATTTGAGAACTGCTGTTATTCAGTAGTGCTATGGGTTAGTACATCTGCATAAGCCCAGCAACAATTACACTGTCAGTGGAGGAAGCATCTCGCAGTCCCCCACCCAGCCCAAGCACTTAGTCTCAGATCTGACCACACCATGAGAGGCCTACTATATCCTAACGAGGTCACTAGATGGCCAGATCCTGATAAGACCCTAGGCCAAATCACATCCTGACAGGACCCCTTCCTCCAACTTCTAGAGCACGCTACCATCCCTCTCAATCTTCTTAACATAACCTAGAAAATGAAACTGCCTTTGTCTGCCTGCACGCCATTCTGACCTTCTCAGCACACGATCCCCTGGCCTCCCTCTCAGACCACTTACTAAAGGCCTGTTTATTACTTGGAACCAGCTGCTTCTTCTCTCTCTTTCAGCTCTTTTTTTCTAACACACAGGACCGAGCAAATTTTCATCCTGTGGTGCACAGGGGTCACTTATGAGTCAGAACTGACTCTGCAGCATCTCATAACAATGACAATTCTCAAGAATAAATTAGATCATATCTGTAAAAGCATTTTTATTAAGTCGTATGAATTGTGAGAAAATATCCTGGCTAACTTTAGGACAATGAAGAGAAGAAAGGAGAAATTGGGGAAAAAAAAACCCAACAAACCAAAATTCCCAATTAGTCTGAGTTTGAGAAGTGTAGCACTGATTTTTTCACAAGTAGTTGGGGCCAAAGGAGTACTAACAAGACACCCACTCAGGCCCCACACTTCGATTTTTAGCTAGAGATTTCAATGTGTGGGAGTTAGGTGTAAAAAAATAATTTGTTCTTTTATCACCTCCTTTGGCTTCCCACTTGGAGTCGCTGAATTTCAGAAGTTAAGGGGGTTGTGTCTGGTGGAAGGCTGCAGAAACAACCATGTCCTTTTTTACCTGTTGACGCAAGTAAGCCCCCAGAATGACTGTGCTAAGGAAGAGGTTTGCGTAAGAAAAGGCAATGTTACTCCAACTGTCTCAAGTGAATGCACCAGCTCTCTCTATCAGGCTGGTAAAGGAGGAAGCTTTACAGAGAATGAAATACATCCTCCTTCTGTCAGTACATAGTAGTCTCCTAAGGGCCAGCCTCTGTCATGGTGGGTGATTCTGAAAGGTCTAACCAGCAAGAATGCCTAGGACACCCCTGGGAATAATGGCCAGTCTGGGACTTTATGCCTCTTTCAAAGACCCACAAAATATCCCTCTCTTAAAGAACTCTTAAAGAGCTCTTGGCTTAGTGGTTAGGAGTTGCACTGCCAACCCCAAGGCTGATTGCAGGAGGAAGATGAACATTCTCCTCCCATGCTATTGACAGTCTCTGAAAATCTGCTCGAGGGTCAGCTATAAATCTGTTCTGACTAGATGTCACATAACAATTAAAAAACCTGTTGGGTTGTATGTCATGTCTATTGTTTGAGAAATTGGAGATTTCCACCCTAGGGGTTGAGGGTGATGATGAGGGAAGGAGCTAGTGTTTGTAAACTGAGATCAGTTTTTCTCCCTAAACTAAAAGACATCCCAGAAAGAATAACAATTCTGTAGGAAGAAGACAGCAGTGCTGACAATTTTGTTGAGATGCCATTAATAAGTATTTTATGCACATCTTGAGGTCTAATTATTATGGAGTTCACCTGCAATCTAACTGGAACCCAACCTGTTACTTTGATGAGATTAGACTCTGCAGACCTTAGCTACTTGACTTTTTCTGTGGCAAGAGTTAAATGAGGAGCTTTGCATTTTTAAATGAAATGTGTTTCTCTCTGTTCTCAGATCTTAGGAATGGCCCTTCATCATCTTGCCCTTGAAGGGAAATCCAATAATTGCCCTTGGCAGTCTGACTCATGGAAGTGTGGGCAGAGCCAAGCGTGGGTTGGAGGAGCTCTCAGAGCCAGTAACCTCCCCGAACTGGCTGTTTGGATGCTGAGAAGTTCACCTCAGGGGACATGGAGACTGTTATTTTCCTGCAGGCTGTCCATTCTTAGGAGGCAGCGCTGTGTCTGCCCCATGTGTTTATCATCTGCTAAAGGGCAAGTCAGATCACATCCCTGTTATTAGACGAGCAACATGCACAAGGGTGAGCAACAAGCTTATAGCTCTAACACCTCCTTCGTGGCTATTTTGAGGGATCCCTCAGACAAGCAGAGTGGACATGTGGTATATCCACAGGACATAATGACAGGTTTGGTGTCTTCTTGAGGCTGAGTTTAAAAATGTCAGAAAGGCCAAGCTTAGCTTGGCAGAAGGGTCATTATCCTTGAAAAGGAAGATTTTCTAATGTAAGCTGACCTTTTAAAGAGTATGCATTAAGTTTTCCCAACTGAGACATCAAGCCAAGCTTAAGCAAATCAATTTTACCAAAGGTCAGTTAGTAGGATCATGCTGAAGCCAAGCCATGCTCTCCTACCTAAGCAGAGAGAGGTAGACAAAAAGCACATACAATTCGCTGGTCAGTGTAATCTCCGCTGCTGTAAGAGGTGGCCAGCGTGGAAGAGCACTTCTCCGCATACCAGGGGGAGAGACCTTGCTGGGAGGCACTGCTGATGGAGATGGTGTAGATGCTGTCCGTATACCCATCACAATCACAGTTGTCTCCCTGACGGCCCCCATTCCCAGAAGCCCAGACAAAGATGGATCCTTTGCCTTGCCTTCCCTAAAGAAAAATCCAAAAGATATACAATGTTTGCAATCAGTTACAATATAAAGTTGAGCAATTTGGACTCACCCAGTAGCACCAAGGTTTGGCAATTTGCTCCTACAAAGATTACAGCCAGAAAACCTAGAGGGAGCTATGGTGGTACAGCCTGCAGGGAGTTGTGCTGCTAATTCAAAGGTGGCAGCTCTCTGGCAGATGGCATCCATCAGCAGCTCCTTGGGAGAAAGATGGGCAATTTCCTCCCAATTGATTTACAGCTTCCATAAACCCACTGGAGGATCAGCTGTGAGTCGGTTCTAAATCAACAGCAATGAGCTGTTTTTGAGTTTTCCACTCTCTAGGTTCTCCAAGGTCAATGATGAAGAATTTCCCAGGACCACTAGAGCATTTGAGCCTGCCAAGTCCTCTTTCATCTAGCCTCTCTCTGGATACACAGTGCTCTTTCCTTTTCTTCATGACAAGGGTTTATTATCTGGCCTTTAGCACTTGCTCAGAGTGGTGCAAATGGTATTGGGTTAGGTAAAGTTACCTGAATAGTTAGTTAGTGGTTTGGACTCAGTCAAGGGCTTATCTGAAGATAAGCCAGGTGATATGATTCCCCAAGGTCACAGTCTTGAAACTCTATTCAGTAGTTCTACTCTGCCCTCCTGAGTCATAATCAACTCGACAGCAATTAACAATAGCAACAACACCACTTGCTCATATTTTTCACTCCTTTATAGGCTAGCACTATGTTTGAATCTTTGAACTTCCTCTTTCTTTCTGCTTGAATTTTCTGGCTGACTGACAGAATGACACAATCAGGCATTATTCAGATCTGCTCGCAGCTGCATTAAAAGGAGCTGTCAATTGAATGGAATTCATCAAGGCTACCCTTCCTTTGATTTTCCAATTTGCTCACCAATGTTTCTATCCTTGTTCTATCCTGTGTGGTACAAGGCCTCAGAATCTGTGCAAGAATGCAGTGAACAAAATATCATCATTGCAGAGGCACAAGTATACACAGGGAACTTGCATAGCAGAAGGTGACATATTCCTATCTTGAAGATTTCTTTTGCAGAGCATCCTAAAGTAGTCTGGGTAGTAGTTTGGTGTACAACCAAAAACAGCAACAAAGTGAAAAAGGTACAAGAAACATACAAAAGTGTAAGAGACTTTTTTTAGGGAACATTGTCAAAGTAAGAAATTTTTGCTCAACGTCAAGCTGAACCAGAGAAAATGTTGTTAACCTTTTGCATCAATTCCTCTGAAGAATTAGCTCATTCTCCAAAAGTATTTAAAATTGTAAATAAGTTTATCAAGAAATTCACAATCATCCCCAGAACCCTTTCAACTCCATATAACTAAAGTCATCTTCCTCCCCATTCATAGACGATGGTCAGGTTTCATCTTGGGTGAGTCTGTATTAAGTACCTCACCTGTTTGACACCATATTCAAAAGCCTTCTGGGCTAGTCTGCCAGGCCCCTCCACAGTTTTCCCATCATCATTAGGGCCCCAGCTTGCACTGTAAATGTCCACATGTCCGGGGTTGAATCCTATTGAACTGGCCTCGATAGCATCAGTCACAATGCCATCCAGCATCCTTATGCCTGAGCAGTAAAAACAAAACAAAAACAATTCCAGATATGTTGATGTTAGTGTATGCAAAGTCAATGCTGCAATACTCTTAGAATTCACATTTGTTATGTAGTCTCAAAAGGGTCACGAACAGGGTACCATTACTGCTTCAGCTCACTGCCATTGAGACGATTATCTTTCACAGTGAGCGTCCATTGTGAACCTCCATTGAGTTTTTTTGAAGCTGTAAATCTGAATAGAAGGAGGCTGCACACCATTCTTTTGCAAAGTCAGTGGTGGATTTGAACCACCAGAGATGGCCAGTGTTTTAGTTAGCAGCGGAACACATTTTGGACTAAACCACCGGGTACCATCAAGTCAGAACTGACTCGAGTGGGTTTTCAGAGGTAGTTTAATCACACCGGAGGAGACTGCTCATCTTTCTCCCATGGAGCATCCGGTCAATTCAAACCATATACCTTTGGGGTGGCCCTTACTATTAGGTCACTGCAGCAACCATTGGGTATCCCAAACGCATAAGACCCAGATGCTAATAGCACCAAAGGAAGTCACATGTCACTGCTTCCATTATTCTCTGCTTGTTAAAGAGAACTAGAAGCACTGTGTAGATGGTCATGGTTATTTGTTCCACTTAAGGATCTGTTCTAAGTAATCTTCCTGAGGTTAAGAGAGCATGGCATTGTTGGATAAGATGGAGCATCCGTGGATGTTGCTGATTATAAACTACCTCAGCTTTCTCCTTCCACTGCTCCATGGAAGGAAAGCCTTCATTCAGAAAGACCCATAAAGAGTCCCTTTTCATGGCCACATCATTAATGGCTGTAGCCCAGCCTGCTCAGTACAAAGCTCCCTGTACGGAAACCTTGAATAGGTCTATACATAATGGGAAACTAACAAATAGGGCAAGAACCCTTGTTTCTGAGCATTGCTTAAAAATAGCCCGGAGGCCATTCTTTGATGTGTTTCCTAAGAAACATTTTCACGGAACAAGCTTCCTTTTCTTTTAAATAATCTCAAGGATGAAATCATTGCTATGGATGTTACTCCTGAGGGGGAATCATTTTTCATCAGGAGAAGGGAGAAGCAGAGCCCCTGGTGCTTTGCAGCAGGCTGTCACCCATCATCAGATACATGAATTTAAGAGTCAGAAAAGCAAATACAATTTAGGCAGATAGAGCCAGTTACCTGGCTATTCCTGGCTTCAGGCTAATAATGCAATGGCCTGCATGGCCTGCTATCTTCACACTATCATTTGCTGTGTAACAAAGGTAATAAAGGCATGTGACTGACACTATAAGTTACAGTCACATTTGTAAGAGAAATTGTTTAAAAACTGCTAGGGGCTAGAGCACAAAAACTATGACAAAAATAATCATTGGACTTGGAATCAGAAGTCTCATTTTTCAGTTCTACACACCTTCAAACTATCTTTACTTTAAGCACTTTGCTCCTGATTCCTCTTCTATAAAAGTAGTCAGATGATCCTCTCTTGATCCATAGCTATCTAGTTCACCATGCTTTAAGAAGTGAGTTCATTTAATAGATGATTACACGATTTCTGCCTCTGACTTCATTTTCTTTGATTTAGCATGGCAAATTGAAGATAGTATATTAGGAATGAAACTTAAAATTAAAAGTGTACTGTTATCATTGAGGGATGCATTATATATGCCAAGAAACACATTTACTTCATTTTTAAGTCTTTGAGTTTATAAAGACAAAGTTTATTCATATGTAATATAATGGAGTTTTACCGTAACTGACAGATTCTGTAATTGACCTTTTTGTTGTTACAGTTTTTGAAAAATAAACTAACAGTTTATAGTTTAACTGTGAAAAGTTGAGGTGGGCATAGGGTAATGAGGAGAGACAATTGTTATATTCAGTTAGCCTTTGCAGAGCCACGCTTCAGTTCCCTTCAATAGAAAATGGACTATATCCAAAGACTCCCTTGACCTCTACCTTTCCATTGAGTTCAGTCAACTAAATACATGTGCAGGAGACTGGGAAGTGAGAGAACAGTGAAAGGTTCCTCCTTGCCTAGAAGTAGTTCCCTTGTTGTACTCGAGTCCCTAGTTTCTGTCCTGCAGCTCTCTCTCCTATGGTCCAGCTCTCTGTCTCAACATTCCACTGTCTTCTCCTGCCCTTTGGTTCTCTTGACCAAATGTAGCATCTGCTTACATCTTATAACCTCTTCTCGGTTTTCTTTAACTCTTATGAACAAGTCTTCATTCAATTATCCTTCAACTATTATGATGGAGTTTACAAAATTTTCTGTAAGGAGAGTTAGTGAAACAACCAGCAATTCAAAATTCTTATTATAGACAGCAACCCTTGGATTTTTTTTTTTTAACCCCTGGCTTTTTAATTGAATAATTATGTGTTCTTTTTATTTTATAAACTTTTTTTTTCTGTAAGTGAAGGTTAGAATTGAGAAGCAAGAAAATTTGTGTTGCTAATAAGTGAGAGGCTTAAATCCAACAGTTGTTCTCCTGGAGAAAGATGGGAAGCCTCCTTACATCAAGACTCACAGCCTTGGAGACCAATGGAAATCAAATTAGTTCCTAAGGAATCCTGTGGCACAACAGACTAAGAGTTAAGATGTTAACCCAAAGAGAAGCTCTGCAGGAGAAAGAGGAAGCAATTTGCTCCTATAAAAATTTACAACCTCAATGATTTAGCCTATTTAGAGCTTTGTTCTGTAGAGTTGGTCTGAGTTAAAATTGACCCGATGGCCATAAATAAGTCTGGTTTTCTTTCTGTTCTGTTTCTCTAAGGAGAGTGTTGGTAAGGTAGTTAAAGTGTTGGTTTTTAACTGAAAGTTTAGTAATAGTGGTTCAAACACACCAGCACTCGTAAGTAGAAAGATGTGGCAGTATGCTTTGTAAAGATTTATCACATTGGAAATCCTATGAGGCATTCCTGCTCTGTCCTACAGGGTCTGTATTAGTCAGAATAGAATTACAACAGTGAGTTTGTTTTTTGTTCCCTTACCACGTACTCAATAATAAGCCCACATAAATATGACCATACAGATAATTGGATATGGTTCAAAAACTGCCCAACATTTCCATTTCTTTCTACAAAGATGAATGGCTTGTGTTCAGCTATCTATGTTCTAGGAATAGAGATCCATTGATATGCTTGTAAATCATTCTCTAGTCCTGTACCTAATTTTGCATATAATTTGTTTCTTTTTTGGTTGTTGAAAAGATCTTCATCCTATTTACACTGGAGGGAGTTCTGTTGGCCTAAGTTGTAGGGAATTGTGCTACCATTCTAAAGGTATATGGTTTTAATTCATCAGTTGCTCTGTGGAAGAAATATGAGCAGTCTTCTCCCCTGCACTTCATGGCCTCTGTAAACAGGCTGGAGAGCCAGCTATAAGTTGGTTCTGACAGCAATGAGTTGATATACTGTAGTATGCAAGCTTCAAAGTAAAGCACCAAAGAACAGAAACAGCCTTCTGCTTTACCTCCAACTTTGGAATTATATGCAATTCCGACCCCACATTTGTGATTATTTGCTTGCATGGCAATTTCTCCTGCACATCGGGTTCCGTGTCTAAGGATTAAAAAATAAGAATTACAAAACATGAGTAAGGATCAAACATTTATTTTGTACATGAATTTATGTTCTGTGAACACAGGAGCATTTTGTCAGTCTAATTGCTGAACTTCTCATAGCTATTAGAAGTGTGTGCTCAGAATAGAGGCATAGGTACTGGAACCAGACTATATGAATTAAACTCTAGTTTCTGCCATTACCCAGTAATGTGATACTGAGTAGATTACAAAATTGCTTAATCCCAAGGGGTCTTGAACAACACCTGATAGTGTGTATTTGGTATAGCAGGGGTGTATATGAAAATAACTTATTAAGCATCAGTTCTATTGATAAGAACATGCACAGCTCTAATTCTTTGAGAAATAACTTCAAAGAAGGAACTTCTATCCCACACTTTGCTCTCTAGTGACTATACTTGACTAGGTTATCCTGGACCATCCCTAGTAGGATATGCTTGGACAATTTGCATTCAGGTTCTCACCTTAATGGCTCCATTGTCTAACAATACACTCTTTTAAAACATTTAAGGATTTCTTCATCCTGTTCTCAAGAGTCTGAGGTTCTGACAAGGCATAACAAGTAAACCAGGAGATTGTTTTTGTTGTTGTTAAGTGTCATTGAGTCGTAGATAACTCATAGTGACCCTATGAATGAAAGACCTGGACACTTGTATAACTTTCATCGTTTCTCCACATTCATAGAGTTTTCAGAGGCAAGCTATTTCAGAAGTGAATGCCACTCCTTCTTCCAAGCTTGTTTTAATCGGAGGGCTCCACCAAACACTGTCCACCATGGGTAACCATTATGGCATTTGACACATTAGTGCCACAGTGTTTAGCATCACAGCATCCACAAGTTATCTCTGCACAACAAATGAACAGACCACTGCTCTACCACTCAGAAGAACGTTTGACCAAAAACAATAAAAACCAGGCCTGAGGGCCGTAGATTAAAATCAACCACCTTTGACTTGGTAGCATAACTTTCTATCCACCTGGCCCAGAGCTCTCTCTATATTGGTGTTATTGTTGTTAAATGCCTAAACAAGGAGATTAGAGTCCTCATAACTATATCTGTGGCTCGGAGTCTAAACAAGATTGATTTTGCAATCATTGAAAGAGAATGATTTATAATTTTGGAATATTTTGGGGGCAAATCATCATAAACACACCATTCCATCAATGCTGGAATTCTGAGAGTTGTAATTGTCTTTTCCCATCTCTAGCTTGATCTTAAGTTCTGATGACATAGTGCATAACCTACTGTATTGCTAACCAAAAGGTGAATGCCCCAAATTCATCAGCCACTCCAAGGGAGAAAGATAGGCAGTTTCCTCCATGAAGATTCACAGCTCAAAAACCCTGATGGGAGGACGAAAGGTAAGCGAAAGGGAAGAAGATGCTCAATGAGATGGATTGACACAGGGGCTGAGCCATGGGCTTGAGCATAGAGGCGCTGGTAAGGATGGTGAAGGACAGGACAGGGTTCAGAGGGTCAGTATGAGTCACTGTAACTCGACCCCCTAACAACAACAACCCGAGTCAAACAACAATGGATTTTGTTTTGCTTTGATGTTGATCTCAGTAAGATCTATATGTCATTATTATTATGTACCATCAAGTTGCAACCGATCCATAGCTGACTCTCCAGTGAGTTCTCAGAGGCAGTCAATCATAGAGGAGGATATTGCCCATCTTTCTTCTGTTGGTAGACTCGAACCGTGTAGCTTTGAGCTGCCAGTGCAACTTCTTACCACTAGGCTATCAAAGTGAATTAATATTAATTTTGGTTTTTGTTTCCTATTTGTTTTCCCATTGTGGAAGCATTTGGGAGCAGTGTGAGGACTGGTAAAGCCTTGGAGAAGCCAGTGATCTGCGAGGCTCTGTTGCCCAGATCGTTTTAGATACTATTATACAGGCCATTTATCAATCTAGCCTTGCATGAAATAGAAAAATTCTAAAAAGACTTGAGCCATTCAAAATAACTGCTTCACTTCTCTGCCTCCCCCCCCGCCCCCACCAAAATACAAAAGATGATTCTCCTTCCACTAAATAACACCCCTTCCTCCTTCATGTTAACACTGAATAGGAGTCCTAAGTCACATCTGTGATTCCGATTCACAAGGACCCTATAGGGCAGAACAGACTTGTCACATTGGGTTTCCAAAGCAGTAAGTCTTCAGAAGCAGACGACCACATTAACTCCCACAAAGTGGCTAGCGAGTGGGTTCAACTATTGACTTTTTTGGTTAGAAGACCCAATCTACTGCCAGAGTTCCTTTATCAGATCAACACTGTTGTTGTTGTTATGTGCCAAGCCCCATGAACAATAGATCTGAAACTTGCCCTATTCTTTGTCAACCTCGTGATCTCTAATAGCCACTGTTACAGTCACTGTCATCAATCTATCATGATGAAGGTCTTGCTTTCTCTGACTCTCCACCATTTTCAGTATAATTTATTATTAATTAAAGGCCTTCTCTGATACATCAGACATCTGATCCTTTTTTATTTTCTTCTGGGCTTTTGTTTTCATTTTGGAAAGTAACCTTTTTTTTTTCTGCAAGTTTCGCAATCAGGGGTGCTCTCCTACCAGAATGCTTTCAAGGATTAATATAGAACCTAGGAAAGAGAATTAAAATTTTCTTTGGGAATCATGAGTTTTAAAGTGCTGCCAGGAAACTAAAAGACATATTGCGAAGGGGAAAGTCTGCTGTTAGGGACCTCTCCAAAGTACTGAAGAGCAATGGCATCTCTCTGGAGACTTAGGTGTGTCTGATACAGGCCATGGTCTTTGCAATCACTTTTAATGTATCAGAGAGTTGGACAATGACTAGGAAGGATAGAAAGAGAATTGATGCCTTTGAGCTGTGGTGCTAGAAAAGAGTATTGAGGGTACCATGGACTGCTAAGAAAACAAACAGATTCACCCTTGAGACGGTTAAACCAGGCTGCTCCTTGGGGGCAAGGATCCTGAGGTTTTGTCTGACATACTTTGGACACGCTGTAAGGAGGGACCAGTCCTTGCAGAGGTACATCATGCTTGGGATGGTGGAGGAATGGAACAGGAGGGGAAGGCCCTCTATGCAGTGGATTGATTCAGTGACTGGGGTAATCGGAATGGGCGTGTCAGAGGCAGTGCTATTGGCACAGGACAGAGCAGAGTTTAGAGCTGTTGTACATAGGGTCGCTATGAGTCACAAACGACTCAAGGGCACATAACAACACAACAATGTGAGCCACTGCTAGGCAAGATTGTATTTGAAAATGAAACGAGGTAGAAGGGATTAGCACTAGAAGAGAGAAGGTGATGTGTTCATGACATTATTTGAGATTTCATACATACATATATAAATAAGTACTCATCTTGTTTCAGCTTTTAAGTCAAGATTTTCTTTTGCAAATGTAGCTTTTTTGGTTAACCTTAATGGTTTTGCCCTTTTTGCCTTTGCAGAGGGGGAAAAAATTCAGCTGTCATTTACTGGAAAATGTGTTCTAGAAGGCACTACTGGTTATATTCTCATTAACACACAATAGGAAACAGGTCCAGGTTAGCCAAAAATTTCATTGCCATCCCAAGCCTGAACTCACAGACATCCTCAATGGAGGAAGAATGTCACAGTTGCTCAAGTTGTCAAGTATTTCTTGGAAAATACTTCTATTTCTACACCAATAAATCAAGAATAGGTAGAGAAGGAATAAAAAAAACGGGGGTAAAAAAACCCCAGACCAAAACCCAAAGCTAATGTCCTAAATAAACTCTCAGGGACCCAGTGGCAACTAGGAATATCCCTGCCCTCAGGAAAATGTGAAAACAATGCTCTTCCTCCAACCTTACAGAAAACCAACACCAGCCCCTCCCACATTACTCCTGTACAGCAGGAAGTAGCTAAAGATAACTCCACCCCTAATCACTATATTTCTTTAAGGTCTAGAATGGAAGAAGAATGTTGCAGTTGTGCTCAAGCTTGGTCAGTCCTTGAAAGAACCTGATAAAGTCTATCTCTTGATAAGGCATCCAGACTGGACATCCTATTAAGGCTGGGGTAGGGGGAAGAGTTGGTCACAAAAGCCCTCACCCAAGCTAACTGACAGAAGCCCGACCACAAATTATCATCTTCTAGCATGTGAATGACAGTGACTTTTTTCTAACACAGCATTAGGAGCGTGTGCGTATACACACACACACACACACACACACACACACACACAAATACACATGTTGTTGTTGTTATGTGCCGTCGAGTCGTTTGCGACTCATAGCGACCCTATGCACAACAGTCCTAAAAATGGCACTATCATTTGCTTTCTTTCCATACTTCTTATACTTCTTTCCCTTATCATAGTATGCAGAGGCATTGATAACTTTTTTTTATCTTCACTTCCCTCTGCCACACCTTGAGAGAAAAAAAATAAGAATTTATCAAAGTGGTTCTGTGAGTTATGTTTGTTTGTTGGGTTTTGTTTTGTTTTTATAGACCTGTAGTTCTATTTCTTCCCTTAAGCTAGGCTCCAAGCAAAAAGATGAAGGGGGAAGCATTTATTATTTTTTAAAAATGGTAGTAATTAGCATTTAACCAACCTGATTAGTCAAATACTATCTCACAAGATAGCTTAAAGATTACTATTATTACCAGTAAAATATCCTTGTTACACATACAATTTAACTGGAAAATAATTCATAATTGATGTTGAAATACTGAATACAGACTCTTGTCAGCTTAATAGTAAGGGCTACCTGGGATTTTAAAGTTTCATTATTCAGTGCTGCTTCTTTTGACTTGCATGCAGCATTCAAATGCTGCTCTCATTAATCTCATTTACATGGTAATAAAGAACAGCAGCAACACTGATGGTTTGGAGAGATAATGCCCTTGGAATTAGGGATAATAGGTCTCCAATTGCTACTAAAGGGGCAAGATAAAATGAAACCATTCATTTCCCAAGGGAATGGGGATTTCTTTCTCACAACATACTAGAAGGGTGACTCTACTTTTT